CTTAGATACAATAAATAAATTCAGTAATGTGGCTGGATACAAAATCAATACTCAGAAATCAATAGCATTCCTATACACGAACAACAAAATCACAGAGAGGGAAATAAGAGAAATTGCATTCTTCACAGTAGCAAGCAAAAAAATGAAATATTTAGGAATTACTCTTACGAAAGAAGTGAAAGACTTATACAGTGAAAATTATAATACACTGAAAAAGGAAATTGAGGATGATCTCAGAAAATGGAAAGACATCCCTTGCTCATGGATAGGAAGAACAAACATTGTGAAGATGGCCATTCTCCCAAAACTGTTGTACAGATTCAATGCAATCCCAATAGAAATACCGTCTACATACCTTATAGATCTAGAGAAATCACTCCTAAATTTCATCTGGAACCAGAAGAGACCTAGAATAGCAAAGGCAATTTTAAACAGCAAAGACAAAGCAGGAGGCATCACAATCCCTGACTTGAAGTTATATTACAAAGCAACAGTAGGAAAATCAACATGGTATTGGAATCAAAACAGAGCCGAAGATCAGTGGAATAGATTAGAAGATACAACCACAACTACAAACACACTCAACCACCTTATCTTTGATAAAGGAGCCAAGCAGGTTCACTGGGAGAACGACAGTCTCGTTAATAAATGGTGCTGGAAAAACTGGCTCTCCATTTGCCGAAAACTAAAGCTAGACCCATGTCTATCACCATGTACTAAATTAAAATCTAAATGGGTCAAAGATCTGAATATTAAAACAGAAACACTAAATCTATTGGAAGACAAATTGGGTAGAAACCTTGAAGACATAGGAGTAGGTAGAGAATTCATGAACAGGACTCAAACCGCACGGGAAATACTTCCCAGAATCAAAAACTGGGACCACTTCTTATTAAAAGGTTTCTGCATGTCAAAAGAAGTCTCCAGCATAGTGAAAAGAAAACCCACAAACTGGGAAAAGATTTTAGTGAACTCTCTCTCAGACAAGGGACTCTTGTCTAAAACATATAAAGAATTAAAAAACTCAGACCCCAATACTCAAAGATCCAATCCAAAAATGGGCATCTGAGATGAATATGCACTTCTCAGATGAAGAAATGCAAATGGCAAATAAATACATGAAAAAATGTTCATCATCATTGGTCATTAGAGAAATGCAAATTAAAACCACACTGAGATACCATCTCACTCCTGAAAGAGTGGCCAGGATCAAGGAAACCAACAACAACAAATGCTGGAGAGGCTGTGGCGAAAAAGGAACTCTCCTGCACTGTTGGTGGAATGTAGACTGGTACAGCCTTTGTGGAGGTCAGTCTCGAGATTTCTCAAAAAGCTGGGACTGGAAATCCCATTTATTCCACCTATTCCACTTCTAGGCATATTCCCAGAAGAACTGAAAGCATCATACCACAGTGATATATGTGCACCTATATATAGCAGTACAATTTGTAATCGCCAGATCTTGGAAACAACCCAAGTGTCCATCAGCTGAGGAATGGATAAAAAAGTTGTGGTGTTTCTATACAATGGAGTATTATTCAACTATAAAGAAGGATCACATTGAGACATTTATCAATAAATGGGCGCAGCGTGAGACCATACTCCTAAGTGAAATAAATCAATCTCACATGTGTGAATACTGAATAGATTCCCTAATGTAAGTAATGATTCAAATATATAAAAATATGTGGTACTCATGATTCCCCATTATGTGGCCTTGAAGCCTTATAAAGTTTTCACTTATTAATTGGAAAGGCTTTATTCTGGGCTTCTTGATATGGAAATATTTATATATTTCCTACAGTATATGAAGTTTTATTCAAGTATTTCAAGGAAAAAGACAGGCACTATGGTAACTACTATTCAATCGGGTCGGGTTATTTGGTGGTGAAGCACTAGGTTCCTGAAACAGTCATGCTTTGACCTGTATTGTTATATTGTTATGTCCTGTTTTATCTCAATCTCTCCCTTATTCTTTAAAAAAATTATTTAGTTGTTTCTTATGTTTGTTTTAATTAAGGGGAAAAATTTAAAAAATTAGCAGGATATATAATAGTAATTTTTTTGATTTCCTATTAACTTGTTTTGAAGTCCTGTAATACTCCCACTATCTTGTTTTGACTGATTAGACTCTGTTCCATTCTGTATGATAGTATCAAGTTTGAGGGTATAGGCAACTACTTTGAAGGCAATAAGATTCACTAAGATGCCCATTCTGGTTTGACTATTGTCTCCTTTGGAAGTCCTGTAATGTTTACAATGCTTAAGTTTTATTGGTCTTGTTCTCTACTGTTTTTTTCAACTTTATAATATCTGATGAGATAGACAATTCTTTTTAAGGAAACAAGAGACATTGTTGATAATCATTGTTGAAACCTTGTACTCTGTTTTACATCATGTGCTATGTCTATCCTTGGCTTTGACTGACAGCTTTGTTTTGCCATATTTGACTCTATTCTCTCCCCCCCCCAAAAGTAATAAGAACTAAGGAGTACTAAAATCCAAAATGTGTAAATTTTGTTGTAAAAAAGAGAGGGAAAAAAGCGCTCTAAAGGATACAACAGCAAGTGTCTTTAGGGGTGTTACATAGCTGACCATATTAATGTTTTTGGTTGGATCATTGAACACAACTGTTTGCAGTCTCACTGTTTGAATGTCCACTTTGTATTCTTTGATACTGTGATTTGAGCAACTATCTCTAAGATGAGAATATGTAATCTATTAACTGGTGATTTCTTATTTATTTATTTATTTTTTTGTAGTTCTGTATTACTTGTACGCTTACACTGCTTTGTTTTGTTTTGTGTTTTTCTCTTTTTCCTTTTAAATTAAAAAAAAAAAAAAAAGCTTAGGCTACTGCTGCAAATCAGGGATTGCCCGGGAAACAATTTAATACTGGCCACAGAATTTAGTGTTATTTATGAGGGTCACCCAAAAGTTAAACACAAGAAGTGCAGGAAATTGGTCCACACACTAAAGACCTAGAGAATCTAGCTAAGGGCGTGGGTCCTACAACAATGTCCTGCATGAGTTTAGCTGAAGACCTAGAGCCCATAACAATGCCCACAATGATGCCTCATGCAAGTCTGTGCCAGTGGGATGAAGGATCTGTGCTGGGGGTAGGCTGGGGGTTCTGTACTGGAGCCAAGACACAAAGTAAAGACCAGGGGTCCCCTGAAAAGTGCCATAGCCACCCTTGGTGACAATGAGGTCCCAAGCCCCTCTGATGATGAAAACAGCCAAGTTCATATCAGGAAGCCAGCATGACCAGCTTCTCCTGGAGACTGAACAGCTCACATCTTCCTTCTGGAACAAGAAGTGATGCTCAATGTAAGGACCAGAGCTCCCCCAAAGTGAACCACAGTCATTCTCAGTGACAAGGTCCCGAGCTCCTCTGAATGATAATAGCCAAGTTCATATCAGGGAAGCCAATATGACAATCTCCTCCAGGAGAACCAACAGTTCCAAACAACAACATTTACTTAAAAGAACCCACAACGCTACTCTTCCTTTCCAGGTTTCCTTGTTTTGTTGGCAACAGTCCTCAGGTAGGCCAACCATGCTCAGTAGCACACTGATTCAGTTCAGCTGATATTAAGTTGACCTCCAGTTTTTAACCCACCATAGCTACTTAAGACTTGGCTGGTCTGGAATGTCCTGAGAGTCCTCATGTGGGAAGCCTGGTCCTCAGTGTGGTGCAGTTGAGGTGGGCGACCCTTAAAAGGTGATGCCTATTATGAGGAGGTCCCAAGACTGGATGGAGGTCTTCTCTGGCTTCCTGATTTTGGTGTGAGTCTCTCTGCCCTTGAGATGCACAAGCCTTGAGGTCGTATAGTCCAGGTGGCATCTGTCAGAGCAGGTCTTGAGCTGCTGCTTAGACCTTCAGCCTCTGTGAGCTAAGCCAGCCTCTCTTCTTTGTAAGCCTCAGGCATTTCCTTATAGCAACAAAAAACAGACTGAGACATGGAACCCTGCTGTGTCTCTCCTATTCCACTGAAGACATTCTTGTTTTTATACCTGAAAACAATGGCTCCTCCTCTTCCAGTTAAAATCTTCCTGCCTGTACACATACCCAGCACTTTCAAACTGAATAAGGCAAAATAACATTACTATCATCTGCTACAGATGCCTTGAAAGACAGGCATGCTAAGCTCAAGCCAGGCGGGTCTCATGGCCACAGCTGTCAGCTCTTATTTTCTGACATGTGTTACTTACATGTTATTATTCCTGGCTTTTCTGCTGAGCTGCAGCTCTGGTGGAAGCTAAGTGACACAGGGCCTCCTCTGGGGACAACATGAGAGGACCAGCTACATGTCCCATGGGACATGTACTTAACATGGCACAGTGACTTAACAGGCTGCAAAAATGCTAAAGTCACTTACAAGAGCTCACACTCAGTTGGGGCTGATCAATGCACATTTAATTTAATTAAACTGATGCTGGGTTTCTTAAGTACACAACTAACAGACAATCAAAACATGGATGAGAAAACAGATGCTCTCACCCATCTTCCCTCTGCCATTTTCAAAAACAACATTTACAACAGTGCTGACTGACAGGGCAGCCACTTTGGAAAGGTCTGACATTTCCTCGAAGTGGTAAATGTGGAGTTCCCAGGGCAGGCAGCAGCAGCAGCAAATCCACCCCTGAGCACTGACCACCAAGCACTGAAACACACACACATACACACACACACACACACACACACACACACACACACACACACACACACACACCATTGAAAAACAGGTGTTTGTGAGCCAGATATGGTGGTTCATGCCTGTAATCTCAGCACTCAGGAGGCTGAGATAAGAGGATCATTGCAGGTTGGAGACCAGTCTGGCCTACAAAGTGAGTTCAAGGCCAGGCTGAACTGCAGAGTGAGACTCAAAAAAACAAAACAAAACAAAAACCAGGTATTGATTTTGGCAAAATCCAATTCTACTGTGGAAAGTATTTCAGGCTGGAGGACTGGGATCTAATGGCATGAGGCTGCTTACAGTTAGGTGACTTCATGTGTAGACCTTTGAGCCAGTGAGTGGCCAGCATCTGTTGCAGACTGCTTGAGGCACCTGCCTGCAGGGACCAGCCTGGAGGGAGATGGAAAGAAAACTGAAAAATCTTTATATGCACACAGCAGCTCTCCGCATGCAATGTCAACACTGTATTGTACACATGGACAAATACATTTTAAAAATGAAAAAAAATTCCATAAACCTTTGAGATGGCGTATTCAGTTCTATCACTTCACCTATTCCTATTTCTCCTTGATCTCAACTCAAATTAACAAATTTATTGCTCTATCCTTTCTACCTATGTCCTTACACAATGCTGCTAGAGTTGTATATGCATGGGGGAAGAAAAGGAGACAAATTAGCCAGTCAGGTGTGCAGAAATTGTGAAAGGAAAGTCTTGAGTTAGATAATGTTCCTTTCTGCTCTGATACTGCAAGTGTTAATCTGTAATGATAAACTGGTATCCATTTGAGGCATCATCATTTGGTGACAGTGCTGCATGTAGATGATGAAACTGCACAACTTGCTTTTGTGACAGCAAAATGACAATATGCTTTTGTGAAACTGGATAGCAATGGAGCTGCTGTTTTGGGGTAACTGTTATACTTGTTGTTATACATGCCAAAGCAACCTTAGGATCTTTTGCTTGTTGGCTCTGTCGTATCATTCAGAGCATGCATTACACCTTTTCTACCCTATAGGAGGAAGAACTTCATCTTGCAAAAGTTGATTTGCACTGTCAAGCGTGGATACACAATAAATAATAAACTAATGGCATACCACGTTCCAAGCCAATTAGAATATCCCACAGACTGTGTGTACTACAATATAAATTTCAGAATCTGCATGTCTGCCTTAATTTTACTACAAAATGTCAGAAAGGAATGTAGCATTTTCATAGAGCTATTCCAGTTCTGAAGGATTTCTCTAGATGAGTGGCTTTGTTTGGTTTTTGCCATGCTGGGCACTGAACCGAGGGTCTTAAGCATGCTAATGTTCTACCACTAAGCATTATAAGGCCCACCTCGGGAGTCATTTTTATTAGCATTATTTATTTTTTTACAGTACTTGGCATTGAACCCACGGCCTTCACAGTGAGTCTGTGTTTAAAGATAGGTTTCATTTAGTTGCTAAATTGCCCAAGCTAGGCTTATACTTGAAATCTTCCTGCCTCAGCCTCCTACACTGCTAGGAGTACAGGTGTGTATCACCATACCTGAATTTTTGTTCGCATCTTTGAAGATGATTTTGGGGGAAACTCAGAGATAACAAGAGATAATAAATATAAGAAACGATGATCCAAGGCAATGAGCAATTCTTTTTAATGCATTTTCAACTCTTAAAAAAGCATTTTCCTTAACATACCATCTTTTTTTGTTGTTGTTGTTGAAATTATATTCTTTGCCTGTGAGGAAAGCATTCATAATTTAAAGACTTTAAAAACTGTCAAATTCAAAATCTTTTCAACACTCCAGAAGGAAATCCTAAGAAATGAAGAAGATCACACACAGGATTCAATCCAACTTGACATGTCCCTGCAAACTTCGTAGTTATTTTGTCTTTGTTTTCAGTTGGGGTAAAACATCACTTAATATAAAATTAATTTGGTGGCATTCTGTACACTCCAGTGTGATAGGAGCTACCACCTATGTCAGGTTCCAACATAGTCTCATCACTCCACGGAAAACTCTCTACTTATTTTTTTTTTGGTACTGAGAATCAAACTCACAAGCTTGTGTTTGCCAGGCAGGCACTTTGCCCCGGAAAACTCACTATTAATAAATCGCTCCCCACTACCCCTTTGGCAGGTATGGCCACTGCCTGTCAGATTTCTGTCTCTGTGGATGTCCCTCATCAGGAAGGTTCCTGTAAGCATAAATTATACAGTGTGTGTGTGGGGCCACTTGTATCTAGCTTCTGTTTTCAGGTTCCCACTGATAAAGTGGATCAGCATTTCACTTTACCAGTCACTGTTCCATTGCACAGGTGGTGGGCATTGGCTATTGTGCATGATAGTGTCAAGATCCTTCAAGGGTACATTTGAGTGTCTATTTTCCATTCCTTTGGGTACCTACTAGTACCCCAGGGGTAGTGTTATGGATTAAAAACTGGTGGTCAACTTAACACCAGCTAAATTGAATCAGTTTGGTGTTGGGTGTAGATGGTTCATCTGAGGACTGTTGCCAGCATGAAAGGAGATGTGGAGAGGAAGAGTGAGCATTGTGGCTCTCTTACGTGTGGTTGTTTGGAGCTGTTGGTTCTCCTGGAGGAGCTTGTCATGCTGGATTCCTTGATATGAACTTGGCTGTTATCACATCAGAGGAGCTTGGAACCTTGTCATTGATGATGGCTGTGGTTCACTTTGTGGGAGCTCTGTCCATTTCCTGGCTCTGGAGGGGAAGACGTTTGCTGTTTAATCTCCAGGAGAAGCTTGTCAGGCTGACTTCTTGATATGAAAATATTATTGTTGGAGGAGTTCAGGACCTCATTGTCACTGAAGATGACTCTGGTACTTTTTGAGGGAGCTCTGGTCCTTGCAGCATCATTTTCTGGCTCCAGTGCAAGACTCTCAGCCTACTGGCACAGATCCTTCATTCCACTGGCACAGACTTTCTAGTTTCCACTACTGACCTGGGGGCTTTCCCAGAATAGATACATGAAACAGTGAACAGATGCTAATGTTCTACCACTGAGTATTATATCTGAGTCATTGTTGTGGGCCCTAGGCCTCCACCTGGACTCATGCTGGATACTGCCATGGGATCTAGGCCCTTGACTGGATTTTCTAGGTCTTTAGTGTTGTGGACAGATTTCCTGCACTTTCTTGTATTTAACTCATGGTGACAATCATAAAATAATAATATAAATATATTTATATAATAAAATATATAAAAATATATTTATATAATATATAAATAATATAAATTCTATATGTAATTCTGTATGTAATTGTTCTCCTTGAAACCCCTGACTACAATAGGTATATAATTTTATCTTTGCCATGTTTTAGATAAACCTACTCCTCCCCAAGAATGATAGATGCAAACAGGAGAGGTAAAGGGAAGCCAAACTGGCATGAGCTGGGATGTAGGGAGAGAGAGCAGATGGCATGGTTCCAGCTGACAAAATATACAACAAAGGGGGTGACTGTGTAAGCAGGAGCCAGGGACCTGGCAGCATACAAACCACCGCTGGCAAATGAGCACATGTCAGAGCCCTACTTGGCAAGTGCCTTCCACTGGATGTGCTCATGTCATGTTCAGTTTAGACAAAGCACTCCTCTATGCTGCCCAAGGCCTTCCTGAGCACCTGTCCCAGATGAAGGATGAAGGCTGTTTTTCTGCTAGCAGCAAACAAAATTCCTTTCCCACTCTGAAGCATTTGAGATTAACTACAAATGTCATCTGAATTAGAAGCATGGGATTGTCATGTGTCCATACTTCAACAAGTGGTTATCAACCAGGGGTGATCATGCCTGGCCCACTGGAGGATAGCAGGAAATGACTGGAGAGTTTTTGGGGTGTCACAAGTGGAGACAGAGGTGCTGATGACCATGTGGTGTGCTAAACTCAGGCCAGAGACGCTGCTAAACCTCTTACAACACATAGGATGGTCTACCCACAACCAAGAGTGATGCCTTCCTGCCCCTACCTGGGGTAGATTGATGCCTTCCTGCACCTACATGGGGTAGATGCATAGCTGTCCCATTGGGGCTTATCCCATTGATGGTACAAAGAGATATAATCACAATCATTTTATTAGTCTTTTTACTAGTAAAATTAATAAAAAGTATATAGATGAACTGAAGCTATTAGTTGCTTAATCGGAATAACTTCCCAACTATAAATATTAATACTATTCATACCAATTAAAATTATAACAATATTCAACACCTTAACTTCATTAAATTAAAAGATATTCATATCTGTGACCAGTTTGTCAATAACCCTCTAAATTTTGACACGGAAACTTTACAAGTACTCTATTGCTGGCGTACACACATAATTTGCATTTATAATTGCTATACTGCAACTCAGCTATATTACAATGTTTTATGCCATTTTAAACCTTTAAGAAACTGTAATGTAATGGATGCTTAGTCTGTTAAATCAATGCTTATCTTTGCATTACTGCAATCAAAGACCCCCCAATGTGTACAGCCTGCAAGATGGGACAGCCATGCACATACTACCAGTGGTTCAAGCTAGCAAAACTGATCAAATTCAGAGCAGAGCCGCCTGGCAGCCAGACTTATGTATGAATTACAGTCCTGTCATGAACGTGTTAATCCAGCTCAAAATGTCATGTTCAAAGCAGAGATGTGATTATAGCAAAGTAAATAATCTGACCACTGTGTTTATCTCTTCATGATCTCAGCTTGACTATTGGGGTGTGTCTGAAATATTCGAAAGTGAACAGAGAGGTTCAAGTAAATCTCAGATTCAGAAAGGATTGTTTAGGGGGTATTTTGATAAAATTGTCATAATACTCCTTTCCTGGTTGTCCAAATTTAGAAAAGAAATAGCCCACATGGATTTCAAAAGGAGAAACACGTGTTCTTACTGAATACAAATGAAAGGTTTAACAATAGGTTTAACAATACAACCTGCTGTTCTGTCTCTTGATACAAGAGAACCAGACGTGATGAGAACATTCTTTTCAGCCCATAGAGAGGCTGGCAGGGAGGTGAGTTGGGGGCTCCTGCCAACCACCGGTGCCAAGCTGCCTGCCTGGGATGGAACCACCACGGAACTGAATCCTCAGGCCCCCACCAAGCCTGCAGATGTCATCCTGATGACAGACTCAGGAGAGACTCCAAGCCATGCCCACCCAGCCAAGACACATACCAGCATCCTGACCCCAGGAATCCAACAGGCTGTCCCAGCCAGGTGGGCCAGTGGGCCTTATCTGCAAGTTTGTTGCCAAGAGAGTCTGCCCCCAAGTGACCTTGGAGGCCAATCAACTGGAGGTTTCAAACATGCAGGGACTACCCACCGAACTATGTTCTTTAAAATGTTTTCTGGGTTCTTTAGAATGTGTTTGACCTGTATCATGTGAAAAACTGTTCCCTGATC